CACTTAACAATATGATAAAAATATTGTTAATAGTAACTTAACAGATTAAAAATATTTTTATCATATTTTTATCATATTTTTATCATATAATAGTTATATAACTATCATATTATAATCATAAATGCAAAAATTCAAGTTTCTGCTAAGTACTCCGCGTTAATTTGGGATGCAAATGGATGCCAATTCGAGACCTCATAAACTATTTTTGAAGGTCAAAATAATGCACACGAGCGTTATTTTGCGCTTATACGGTATCAAATATTTCTTCGAGCAATCCGAGTTTAGTCTTTATCCATAATACTTGATCCAATTTTTGACTCATGACCTATCAGAAACTGCCCGTACTGTCTCAACTAAAAAAACAAAAATAATTGATGCAATAAAAATAAGTAAGAAAAAAGAAAGTCCCGACCAAAAGTTTATGCTATATTATAGGATTGAAACTAGTCATTGTTATATAATTTGCCTGATAATCTAATAATATCTGAGTTAATTTTCTCGGAAGACCAAATTATAGCTGCGGTCATTTAAAAGATCAGAGGTAGTCACCTTCTTAAAATTTAGATATTTGTCGTAGTCTTGTAATCGTAGCTTCTTCATCCGTAGTCTTAGACATTGTAGTCCATTCTTTAGGTAAGAATGGTTTTAATAAGCCTGGTGATTTGTAACCGCCGAAAAAGAATTTATATATAACCAAAAGGAAAGCAGTTGAACCACCAAGTCCAGATAGGAAGCCAGCAACGGTGGTCGAGCTCACTTTGCTAAGTTTTGGTTAATACGGTTAATTTAAGCAGGCAAGATTTATATAATATTTAATATATTAGAAGAATTATTAACTTACTTTACTTGCGTATAAGTAGTCAAAAATGTTGACATATTAGTAATTTGTAAAATAGAATATGGTGTAGTTTGATTCGGAAAATCAGCATTGCTATATTGTCTAAACAATACTTTTGGTAAATGGTAGTAATAAGATAATAAATATCCGTATAAACAAGTAACTATTACAAACAATGAATTTAAGATTCCTGCTTACATATCCTAGTTAACAGCCCAAAATATTTAACTCTATGTTGGGAAGATTTACTGGCAACTTTAGTAAACCTAGCTTGTTCTGAAGAAGTGTCGAAATATTGATATTGAATGCGCTCTAAATATATATTATTCACCTGCATAAAATAGTATTAAATTAATTAAATTAATAAAATAAATTATAAACAATAATAAATAACCAAAAATAAACATTATGAATATTAAATTTTTTACTTGAAATGGCGAAAGTGTGTAAAGATTTTCTATGAATAATGAAGAAAGTTTGTCTTGAAAATTACTTGTGGTTTTGAGCCTTCTATACTTATGCCATCACTAGAAAAATAACCACTATATGTCGCTGAATCAAGTGGAATTACGAATGGATAAGAAGAGTTACTTGAATTGACTGTGTAAATTCCAAACACAACGGACGATGAACTCGAAAACGAAGAATTGCTAAGATAAACGATGTAATTTATGTAATTTTTGATATTATTTATACAATCATATGTAACAGTTGCATCAGTGACGTGCCATTTATATGATACCTGAAAAATTTTAGCGTACAGTACGTACAGTACGTATAGTTCTTTCCTGGCATCTGATTGGCTGGAACAAGTGATCGATAAAAATTTTAGCGTACAGTACGTACAGTACCAGGTACTGTACGTATAGTACTGTACGCGGCACATCACTAGTTGTATCTCCTAAATTTAGATGAAAGTTTAGATATATTAATTATGTCGATAGAAAAGAATTTTTTAAAAAAAACATTTAACAACAGAATAACATACAGATAGCACATGTAATATTATTGATCGGAAGAAAAATGACAGCAAAGTAATAAAGAGCATAAATTACCATAATTAATTCGTTAAAGAAACTTATCAGGAACAGGTATATCGCCAACTGATCTTGACATTTGTAGTGATGAAGGACCAGAAAAACTAAGGAGGTAGTAAATTATGTAGGCTATAATTAAGGCATAAATAATGAAGAGACAAATTATTCTAAATATTCTGATATATAGAGATAGATGCTTTTTCTTTAGGGCTGTCCTGTCAGTTTCACACCAAAATAAACAGCAAGTCTCATGTATTTTTTTATTATTCATTTTTTATTAAAAATTTTAATAAGTATGTAAATGTGGAATATTTGAAACGATGCCCAAATAGTGAGAAAAATTGCTTCGGATATTTATAAAATTGTTAAAACGCATTATAAAAGATATAATCAAAAACATTGTAATAATTTGCAACAAATATTGATCCTTATATGTTATAAGAATTGAAATAATGAGCTAAAATAGCGAAATAAGATTTATCTTGAAATTTTACGTTTCCTGAGTAACAAGTAAATAAGGGTTGAATCCATCTAGATAATCATTGATGAATGTTAAACTTTAAATGCGAAACTTCATACTGTAACCATCGTAAGGGAGAGCTTGGTATTGTCATGCCGAATTTAACTCCGACGGTTGACGTTAGAATGGTCACATGAATTGGGCAATTAATTAGATATTCGGATATTCATGATTTATTAGGCATTTATGATGAAAAAGAGTGTGAATATATATGAGCTTTATTTATTGAAGAATTTTGGGAGAACGATTGTTCTCCTCAACTAAGGATGAAGACGCACTCTTATATACATTCTAATTTTACAGATCTCAACACTTACGTTATAGATTCTCAAGGCACAATTAGTACAAATTAATGCAATCGCGTATATGCTCTACTTTGAACGTAGACGCTCTATTTTGAGCGTAAATGCTCTTGCATGAATTTTTTTTTTTTTTTAATATTGAGGTGACCACTTAGGCCCCTGGCACTTTATTAGTTCAAACGGGTGGGCCGTCC